GCCAGCAGGCTCAGACCCCAGGTGGCCGGCTGCCCTCACTGACCCCAGGCTGGGGGGCTGGCGCCGCAAGCTCCCGCCAGGAGTCAGGACAGGCGCTGTCCCAGGTCACACCCGCCGGCCCGGCTGCACCGAGGCCCCGGCTCCACATGCATGTTGCGAGAGAACCTGAGCAAAGTCAGGGCAACACCACCTCCCTGGCCCATGTGTTGGACGTGTGTGTGTGTGTGTGTGTGTGTGTGTCTATGTGAGCGTGCCCGTGTATAAGAGTGCCCATGTATGAATGTCAGTGTGTGTGTGCATGTGTATGAGTGCCCAAGTGTGAGCATCCCCATGTGCGTGTCTATGTGAAAGTGTGCACGTGTGTGTGTGTGAGCGTGTCGGTGTGAGCGTGTGCATGTGTATGAATGTCTGTGTGTGTGTCCGTGTGTGAGTGTGCCCATGTGTCCGTTTGTATGAGTGTCCCTGTGTGAGCGTGTCCGTGTGTGAGTGTGCCCATGTGTCCGTGTGTATGAGTGTCCCTGTGTGAGCGTGTCCACGTGTGAGTGTGCCCATGTGAGAGCGGCCCTGGCACTACTTACCCAGGTAAGTGCCTACCAAAAGGGCCGGGTTGCAGAGAGAAGAAAACACTGAGCGTTAGCGTGGGCGCATGCCCGGGGGAGGCGGGGAGGCAGGCGCAGAGTGAGGGGCAGGAGTGAGTGAGTGAAAGTCCCAGGTGGGGCTGGCCCTTCCCAGCGCTCAGGACCACACGCTGGACAGACAACACGGAAGCACCCCATTTTGGAAAAACCCACAAGTGCACACGGACTCCACGCACCTGCGTGCTAATCGCTTTCATGAAAGAAGCCCGAAGCCCAGGGCGCCTGCTGACGGCCCCTGTGCCCGCGCTGCGGGCTTCCCCAGGGTCCCGGGGCCCCTCGGGCCACAGGGACACTGGGGAGCCAGGGCGGCGACCCCACAGGGCATGCCCGCTGGGGCTCCCAGGTGCAGCGGGGAGGTGTGCCCAGGAGACGGCTGGCTGGCGGCCCCCACGCCGGCCCCGCCAGGCCCACGCCCCACGCCCCACGGTGCTGATCCTGGTCCCCCCCACTGCCTGGCCAGCCCCCAGAGCACCAGCTGCCCTCCAGCCAGGCCAGCCCAAGGTGCCAGGGTGCCACCGACTGCCCATCCAAGGGGCTGGCAGGAGCTCAGGACACGTTCCCCGAATCCTCCCTTTCCTTGTGGCTCTGTCCACTCTGTGTGGCTGCTGCTGCGGGCGGACCCAACCTGGGCTGGCCCGCTCCCCAGGGCAGGTGTTCCCAGCCCTGGCTGACGGCCCCACAGCCCTTGATGCCCTCCTCCAACTAAGGGGCAAAGGCAGGGCCTGGAGCCCATGGGCAGGACCTGGACCTCAAGAGCCCCTCCTGAAGCCACTGCCAACCCCACGCATGGTGAGAGGACCGACCCCACGCGGCCTTGTCCCCATCCCCAAGCTCAGTCCCCTTCCCCTGAGGGCACTGAGCCCGGTGCCCACCTGGGCCTGGCAGCCCTCCCCAGCCACGCCAACCACACCCACAGCTCCGTCCATCACCCCCCCAGGCAGGGCGCACACGAGCTGCAGGCACAACACGGCGGCCACGAGAGCAGAGGCTGGGGC